CCACACCTAGCAGCTAGATTGACCGATATATTAACCGAAGTTTGCGGATTGGACGTAGTTTCTCGTGACCGGTCTCGATCTCTAGTCGCTCCATTCTATGAAGAAGGACAAAAGTCCTCTTATAGATATCAAAGAAGAATCGGTTCGGCTAACATAGCTTCCGAAATATTAGCCTTAATAATACTACGACACTCAACTAGTGCTCGTTGAAAGCAAACCCAAGATAACTAGGCTTGTTGGAGAGTCGAGTGTAAATGTATAGACTAAATATCAATCCTTCACTAGGTTTTGAAACGTGAGCATACTTTTTGACGTCCAACTACAGTTACATTTTCAGTATGAGATTGTGGAGATTGTCGAATTTCAGTTAAATCATGAATCGATCTAATTTAAACAGCTAATGAAAATCTGGATTCATTGAACGGTGTTTTCATCCTATCATGTGACTCATCGTAACGGTTACACGATCCTTTGGTAGGGACTCGAATTCAGGACCTTCAGTCTCGCGCGTGAACGCTTAACTTCCAGACCACTGAGCCGGCATCCAATACTGTTGATGTACTTGAACTTGAGGTGGCGTTCGATTTTGTTGATTGTGAGGTTCTGTAGCAGTCTGTCATTAAAATGCGTACCAAAGAAGTACATTAACCTTATACAGGCCTCCTACTCGAATCAAAGCTTATGATGATCTGTCATCATTATTTTTAACCGAAAGTGGTGTTCGTCAGGGCTGTCTAATTTTTCCATTTTTTGTGAATTCGTCACAATTATCCTTTAAGAGATAACACTCATAATCTGACATCAGGGATTGGTCTTTACCTGGAGATTCACTTGTTGAATTAGGATACGCAGATGATGTAGTTCTGTTTGGTGAAGACTGACAAAATCCGGAGTCTTCTGACCTCACGGTTCTCTCCCTTCAAATGTAAAGTGTGACTTCAGGATTGCCTTGCTTCATCGTCCGAAGTAGTGATATGGAGTGAAGTAGTCGAATACTTCGACCGCTTCACTTTTCTTGAGAGTCTCATCAGTCCTGATGTCCGACAAAATCTCTTCACGGATTCAGGAGGCTGAATTCGCTTTTGCCGACTTTCTTCATTTGTGGCGTATGTACGATATGTCTCACAATCAAAGGATGAGTTCACTACACAGCAGTTCACTCCATTCTACTTTATGAGTGTGAAACATGATCATTAAGATATAGACAATATTTGTAGGTCACTGGTATTCGGTCATAATTATCTTCGAAGCATTGTTCGTGTATTTTGGGACCACCTATTATGTAATGTGGAGGTTATGAATAGAGTAATAGGTGAATATGGCAATTCGGTTGATGAGGTAGTAAATCTTCATCAACTGAGCTGGTTGGAAAACGTTACGCATGGCCAACCACCACCTCCGTGAACAGGCGATGTTTTCTGGTGTTGGAGTAGGCTGGATGAAACGAATACATAGTATCAGCCCATGAAGATAATGAGAATTGAACTGAGCCATGTTAATAAATGTAGACTACCTGGACTCTGCGTGATTGTCTCAAGTAGCGGTTATAGAATATGGGTGACATGAGTTAAAATCGTTACCAATGGTACAGGTGCATCCATTCCTGGTCTTCCCCCGAATTCTGAGATTCCGATTCTCACGAGATTCCTATGTTTTTATTATTCGAACTTATATTTTCTAGAGTAGTATCGTTGATGCCTAGTTTTTTAACCGCTACTCATCCTCTTACTATCTCTTCTATTCTAGGATTTGGCATGACAATTTCATCTCTCTGTACTAATAGGATGTGGCCATTTGAACCAATGTACATATGTACCAGGTTCTACGTTGTGAGCAAAATATCAAAAGGTGGCTGCTTATCAGACTAGTAGGCTTTAAGACCCACCTGCATTTTTCCGATTGACTTAACCTGTCGAATTGGTCGCTAAAATCGCCTGCTAAGGTTACTACGGCTGGGCATCCGGCTTCCTGAGAGAGATCATGAAGTTTCCTGTAAACTCACTTTTCACTCCATTCGAAGTGCAATCAGTGGGGGCACAGGAATAAAGAGTGAGGATTCAATGAAGTGTCATTACCTCTTCAACTTCTAATTCCGCCATTGAGACGGACAGCACACAAGTGAAAATCGACAGGAATCCAGTCAAGTGCCTGTTCTGTTTTCAAACTTAATGTTATACCTATATTTCTGAAACCATGAGAATCTTCTTTCGTGTCTGCAAATACGCGACGATTACGTCACACCGGCTGTCCATGCTGGTTAGGAAAGGTAAAGTGAATGGCTGTGCTAAGATCCTGTGTGTATACTCCCGAGACATCATACACCGATGGCACATGATTGCCATATCTTAGTTTGTGATGCCTGTTTGATTAACCAAAGGGGTCGGACGTTGAAAGCTCCAACATGTAGCTTGAAGCGAAGTTTTAATAGACATAGACCGATATTTGGTGAAGTTGAGTTAATATCACTGGTGGCATATAGGAAAGTTATGACGTTTTCTGTTGGAAGCATGATGTCGGTTGTTACTCCTATGTCGTTCACACCACGAAAGGATAGTTCTTGAGGTATCTGAAGAGATAGCTCTTGTCTTAGTGACTCGTAAGCGTGATCGCACAATCCAAGATAAAACTGGTTCAGGCCAGTCAGGGCCTTTTTCGAGTGGTTTTAGATAAGTTGGCTCCGCATTTCCGAGGCTCTTAACACTGCAGACTGGAATCCGTTGGGCACTGTGATGTATTCTACTTTTAGGGGTCGACCTTTCCTAGACCACTCCTTTCGTTATAGGAAGGCAATACAGCCCTATATACTGGTTGTCCAAGAGGAACATCTTACTGCTGTCATACTCTAATACAGTCCCCAGTACTTCTTCCTCAGGCCATACGTTACTGCTTTTAGTTTTACCGTTCTCCAACCGACCTACCTTGCTTAGTAGAGTCCGAGGTAACGAGTGCCTAATCAATCTACCTCGACTGAGTCATCACAATATGAAGGACCGACCGCAATGTTACGATAGCAGATACGGTAAAGATTATATGTGAACCGATGAATACTCTGAGTAATTCCATTTAGATCCTGTTGCAGACGTACTGACCTGCAAGAACAACTGTTCAGACAAGTGGCAATTTAAGCAAATACATCTTTCTTTGTAAACTAATGAATTACGAAGCATGTACGTTTGCTGTATTTTGTTAGGTTATATATGCCCGACTGAAGTAGTGGAGATATAATCCGTTGCGTTCATTAGAACAATACTTGAACATTTATCTGACCGTAATATCATTATATCATCATTTCGCTTAGTATTTCGTAATGGTTTTAGGTGGTCTTTGGATAAAAGCTTCGATAATAAAGGGACCTATGTGTATGAAGTAGTGGAATTAAACGAGTAGGAAAGCTTGTTTCTTATTTTGTTCTGGTTATAATTTAATCTAGGAGGATGACTCAAATAATCATAACTTTGTGATAGTCTAGTAGTACATTCGACTAACAAATGGAGTAAGGACATCTGTGCTTAATTTGTTTTATATATGAAAGAAAACAACAGAAATTATAACTAAAGCCTTCTAATGAGACCTAGTTATTGTAAAATAATGTTAATTGCAATGTAATATCCAAGTGAAAAACCAGATAATTTGATTAAGAATAAGATTCTGAATTCAATACTCATTTATTTGGTGTAATTACGAAGCAAAAAAACTGGGACCAATTTTATTAAGTGTAGAGATTAATTTCCTCTGACTCCAATAAATAGTATCCCGTTAACCGATTATTTAACGCAGGCTAAATCTCCTAGTAGTATTATGAATTTTTCAAAAGTCCGAATACCAGTTGTAGAGGTAGTTTATTGTTAAGATTAGTAAAAATCCGCAAGTGCGAGGATATCAAGCACACAGAGAAACGAGAATGTGAGTGATTGTTAAAAATCCATATATATTTATGAGTGTTAATCGATTATGGATAAATTACTGATTGTATGTGTTTACAACCAATGGGAGAATACATAAAGATTGATGTACAGCGAGTAGACAAATAATACAATAGTTCAATGGGCTTACTACACAAGTGTTCACCACTAACCACCATTGTGAAAAGAAATCTTGGTTATCATTGCGAGTGAACCATCACAGTAATTTCATTTTAGTATCTAGGTGGCGAAAAACTGTTTATTTGAAGTATCCAGTGAAAGGAAAACTTGATTTCCGATAGAAATAACCTAATGCAACTCCATAACCACATCATGAATGCTGTGAGCTAGTTACTGTGTGGAAGTAGACATTACTATCTGTTTAATAAGGCATAAATGGGTAGAGTTATTTGGACTCATGGCTCTTCGTCATTCGAGATAAAAGTATTTCATCCTAAATAATACATGGGAGTCATAACTTTGATGTAAGCCCTGGTGACTATATGCCAAAAAACAATGCAGGTTTCCTGGTTATGATGTGAAGTTATATGCTGCGAATTTGCAAACAAGTGTTATCGTACATACGTTGGTCAATGGAAGTATACGAACTCGTCTCGGTTTTGAAATTCAAACCAATAAAGCTTTTCAAACTTAAAGATAACTGGTGTGGATAGGATCTTCCGAGGTACATACAACTAGCGAAGGTTCAACTTTGTTAATAATCATAATAAGCACTTCTCCTGTTTTCATAAGTTGGATTACGTTTGTTGTTGCTTCATTTTCCATCGAATCCTCAACTCTAATTAATACTTTCGGTTAATCGTCTTTGATGATTGATTCACAGGGGTCTTAAAGTTTAATCATTTTGCGACTATCGTTTACAGATTATTTAGATGGCTACTTTGTGGAGATAATTATGACTTCACTACGGACTGATACCGGTTGACTATCTATCACTCTATGGCTTCCAGTGGTTCTCCGACCCACAATGAGAACTTTCAACCAAAGCATCCCTAAGCGCTAAATATTCATCTAGTCACACTAAAAAACTGCGATTTTTCTCGGAATTTGTTTTCAGAGACAAAAGTATTGAACATGACTGAAGTCATATAAATATTCATTACGTGATCAACCTTTGACTTTAGATACATCAAATATAATTATAGTAAGGTAAACATGCGTTTATACGTAAATAAATCTGACAAGTTGAAAAGTATAAAAAGCTCGCTTTATAACAAAAAAGATAAAACACATGATTTACAAGCATTGAAATATCAACTGGCCAAGAACAAAACATATGAATGAGCATCGTGTCCCAAAAAAGATTGGGGAATTTGCCCACTATCAATATGTATTCCTTCAGAACACGCACAATTATCTCTTTGTTTTCGAATCCTTTTATGTAGGAACACTGAAATTTACATCAATATATATATATATAGAAAAATAAAGTATATTATCTACATAAATCAAATGGAATAAATCACTTGGATATATATATAATCGACAGATGCTCGTACCATTAACGTCTTGTGTTTATATATGTAGGCTCAACGTAAGCAAATGCGTGGAAAATAAATACAAACTCAAAAAGCATGTATATATTTATGTAATAAAGAATTGAGTAGCATGAAAGACAATTAATGATTAGATAAGAAAATATGAAATGAAAAGCACACACTTCTTATTAGTATTATTGATGATTTTAGTGGTAGTTTAAATTTGGCACAGACATTGTTGGTAAGAATAGTAAGTAGGACTTTTAATTAATTTTCGGAAGGTATAGATATTATGTTCACTGAAATCTAAGGGCGCAAACAACATAATAAACCAAAGCAGAAAATGGAAGTAAACACTTTGTAGTCTCAATAAATGAACAACTTTATATGTCTGTATTTAGCTCATCATGATACGACGTAAATTATTTTGCAATACTGTATCTTGCATAGCATTGAATACTGTTTCGATATTCCGCCTATCTACAGCAGTTGTGAAATGACGATAGACCATACGTTTTCGTACAGGGGCTGTAAATGTTACGTTAGTGGACATAGGTACAGAGTTTTGTCTATGAAGAGATGAACATTTAGCAGTATTATTGAATGATGAATGTGAAAGACTTGAACGAGCTTGAGTATCTGGTGGAAAGTTGTGATTGACTAGAGAGGCAAATACTTCAACCATAAATGTTTGAACATCTTGCAGACGAAATGGATCCATTTTCACGGGGTAATTGGGAAACTCATCACGAATATTTGATGTACGTGAGTTTAACTTTTCTTTAAGTATATCAGTTTTGTTAAAAAATATAATGATGGAAACACGTCTAAAAGCAATATGATTGATAAGTCCTTCAAAAACAACCATAGCTTCATGTAATTTATTTCGAAATTCTTTAGTTAATCGATCTTGATAATGTTCATCGTAATGACTGCAAGCAATAAGGAACAGGACAGATGTCATATCAGCAAAACATTGACACCATTTACGACGTTCTTTTGTTTGTCCACCGACGTCAATAAAAACAAGTGATGATGAGTGAACATTTATTTCTTCTTCAATTATAGATTCCGTTGGTTTACGTGACCAAACTATATCTTCATCAGTTGGACGATAATTCTAAAAAATCAAGAAAAATTTCAAAAAATCCATTGTACTACTTAAAATTTTGTTTAATTCGGTTATTTATTTACTTATTATCTATATTATTTATCTATAGAGAAGCGAATTACACTAAGTTGTGAAGCATTCGAAAATCTATTTTTAACTCACTGAGTTATAAAAACATATTATTCTATAAGAACTATAAATGCACGAATCGGATCTTAAAAATATAAAGTAGAAGTCAACCACATAATGCTATGTATCTTTTAGAAACACTTTTACTACACTTAGATGTTGGAAACCAAAATCAACTGAAAAGCTTCCAAGGGGGATTACATTTACAAGAGATAAGTAGACTAGGGAACATAAAATATGATACGACAGTTCATCGATTCAAGACGCCATATTTCTTAACAGTGCAAAGTGAGAAACATTTTAGACAGAAAACATCAGAATGAACTAGAGGGAGACTAATTGAAAAATGTTGTACACTAAATTCATGTGATTTAAGATTTTCACAGAAGATTTGAATATATTCGGTGAAATTTAACGAACAAAACTACTACAGTAAATAAGGTTAGAATTTGATAGATTCAAACAGAATAAAAATGAATAAACTCATATACCGGGTACTTGGATCCATACTCGAAATGTGAGGGCTAATGTTATTACACAACTGGCCAGTCCGAAATAGATGGAATGGGGTTAGAATCTAAAACTTAGTGACCGTAAATTGAAAGCTTCAACCATTAAGCCGACGCTCCATTTTTCATAGATTACGAACATGTAATTGAACGATGAAAAAATATACTAGAGTTAATACACTAGCTACGTTTACTGACAACTTTATGATGTCATTATATGTGATTTAAAGTATGTGTTTCTTTTTCTGGTGACTAATTTACATTAGAAAATGTAAACATTACGCATATGTAGCTTTAAGAAACATATATTTAAGTTGCATTAGTTTTTAAGGAAGGAAAAAGGTAAAAAAGAATGTAACTGTAAGTTTAACAAAATGAGAGAGCCTAAAATGAAGAAAAATTACGTCGCTTGCTATTTTGGAAAAGAATTATTCACGATAACTTCGTAATCAGTTCAGAATCGTGTTTTTAAACAAAAAATGTACAAGATTATTCATGTCTGTAATGAAAAGTCGTCATTAGTTACATAGATATTCGGTCGATTGCGTTATTTGATTTATTTGTGAATATTGTTTCTCTCAGGTGTCTATTATTACTTACTTACGCCTGTTATTCCTTGTGAAGGAGCATAGGTCAAACACGAGAATTCTCCATCCAACTTGTCCTGGAAAATCCTTTCCAATTGTTATTCGTTCTTTTCATATCTGATTCTATTTCCCAATGTAATGTGTTCTTTAGTCTTCCTCTTTTCCGCTTTCCTTCAGGATTCTGAGTTAGGGCTTGTCTCGTAATGCAGTTTGATGATTTGCGTAATGTATGTCCTATCCATTCCCATCATCTTTTCCTAAGGTGTCTGTTATATTAACTAATAAATCTTGTTAAATATATCAAATTACGTGTTACATTCAACCATTGTCAAGTGAAAAATTATTAATTGGATATGAAGTGAAAAAGAAATTCATTTCTTATTTAATTGTTCGTTCATTCTATAAACAACAATGTTACTTTTTCAATCTACTGTCATATACATCTTCGATTACATTCTTAGATATATATGCATAGAACTTTCTTTGTTGAAAATCTTTATCATCAGCTTAAAATAACATCTAATCATAACAGTGTATACAACAATATATTTGTTCTATTTAGTAATCTAAAAAAAACTACAAAAATATATCCTGTATATAGGCAGATTTTAATTTTGTATTTACGAATTTATTTATTTATCTTAAATCATAATTTCTATAGTGATTTTTTCACTGTGACTGATAATAGTATTACTGCCCCTTTGATATTCATCTTGATATGATGTGAAAACTTGAACTAATGCACAAATATCCCAAGTTCTACGCTGTTGGCGACTGACTAAATACAATTAGTTTTATTTTGAAAAACATTTAAATTCTAATGACCTACATCACCAACCGGTTTTGAATAAGATATGAAGCTATTGTACTATGAGCCTTTTCAAAAGTTTTGTATAAGCAATAAATAGGATTTTCGTTTCAAGATAAACGATCAGAATGCAAATGTTAGTAGTAATTTAGTTTTATAAGTCATACTTCAACCAATTTATCAACAAGAAAGCAAGAGCAAAGATTTAAGCAGAATAACATAATTTCATCTTATTTCATCAGGTTCTTGTCAACTTCTTACAAACTGTATTATTTAATGGTTAAAATTATAAATTGAGTTAAAAGTACATAAAAGAATTTTAAGACAGAAATTTGTTACCTTTATACATCAGAATAGTATGGGAAAGATGTAAATAAATTTAAGAAATCAAATAAAAATTGCCTATAAACATACAATATTTAAAAGAATAATTTTATAGCAACGGTAGTAAAAAGAGAAACCGAAGAGTTAGAAACAAATGGTTACGTGATGAGCACACGCCAATGATAAGTAAAAATAAAGTGAGTAAAATTCGGTTAGTTGAAAATCAAAGTAATTGAACTGGAAGCAAGCCAAAAAGGTAATCAAACAACCAACTAATTTAAAGATTTTAAAAGAACTAAATGATTTAACTAACTAAAGTTTATGGTACAAAAACATAAAATGTTTGACTACAGTTCAATTTTAAAAACATAAACCACATGTCAATTTTTGCAGTAAACTTCAAAAGAAAAGGACTTGGCTGTTCAGTAATGACACTGAAAGATTTTAAAGGTACCAACCTGATGTCTAGAGATTGCATGATTGAAAGTATTTCTTTATCTTGATCGAAATGTATTAGGAACATGTTTAAAAAATCCAATCAATAAAGGTGCCTGAAAGGTATACGTAAATTTATACACAGTTGAAGCTAACACAAGTGGGGAACTTGTTTACCCTTCACTAAAACATTGAAGATGTTTTATTACACGATTAATAGTTTGGGTGCACGGTAGGTCCTGGTTAATGCGCTATTAAGCTCTATACTGACTACCTTTGTAATATCATCACCTTCGAAGTTGAGTGGGATAATGACTAGCTTTTTATTGACTGGATTTATATCCGACTTGTTATCTCTAGTTTTTTTCTCTAGATTTATTAATTCATTTAGGCAGGTATTCTCAACCTAATATTTAATTTAAACTTTTGAATAGTACAGGATGCAAGTAGCTGACAAGAACCTAATGAAATCAATGCCCCCTGAATGCCCTGGTATGGCCAAGAGTGGGGAGAGTCCGCTCTCCCTCTCGAAATACTCTCACACGGCCACGCGTATACAGCCTCTGCCAGGGAAGTCCTACTCATTGCCTTATCGTGGCGGGGGTGTTGTTTACGAAAATGAGAGGACGAAAAGCGGATGTCCGGCGCTTTAACCGGATTCTAAATCAATGGTGTACATGGGCTCCAGTATCCTGCGGGTACGAATGGCGTATGAACCAATCGTTGGTCACCGGCTACCATGGGACTGCATCTCCTTACGATGCTCCACTGCCTTGTGGGTTAGACCTTTAGGTCAAAGGCTCGGGGAGTGGCCCCCTAAGATAACCACCTGCTTCGGTTTGGGCACCCGGGCAGTATCACAGCCCACACACAAATTGATGAACTCTTTATGCCTATGGAAATTACCTTTCTCGCTTTGAAAAACAAACAATTGATTCAGCTTATTATCATTACAATTATTGTCATTATTAATACTAATATTATTATTACTACTATTATTGTCATTATTGTTATTATTATCATTATTATTATTTTCCACATTATTCACCCTCTTTTATACTTATACAGCGGCTCGTCTTTGGTGGAAATCCGACTGTATCTAAACGTTCTCGAGTCACTGTCCGGTTGAAAATTGTATGTTACCACCGAATACGAGGACTGAAGCAGTTTTTCTGAAACCACGTGCACCATTCAAACTGGCTGCCTTCAACGTTCGCACACTTATGTAGGTTGGACAATAGATAGGGCTGGGTATGTCTTTGGAAAGTCTTAATATCGACGTGTGTTGTCTATCCGAGACCCGTATTCAAGAGTCTGGCGAAGTACTACAAATTCGATCTCCATCTGTCGCTTCGAAAAGCTGGTTTTGCGTGCGCTTATCCAGGGACCCTGTGGCATCTTCGTCTGGTCTTGCTGGCGTTGGTGTCGCACTAAGCGCTAGAGCTGAGGCAGCACTAGTCGATTGGATCCCCATTAACAGTCGGTTATGTGCTGTCAGATTAGAAAGTTCCATCAAAGTGAGAAGAAATCGGCGTGAGAAACGATGCCTTTTCGTCATCTCCGCCTATGCCCCGACAGATTGCAGCCCGGATGCAATCAAGGATGAGTTTTACCACCAGTTATCAGTTCTTCTCCAGAAAGTGCGTTCGACAGATATTGTAGTACTAGCCGGAGACTTGAATGCTCAGGTCGGGCGTCTAGGCACAGAAGAGAGTCGTTTAGGTGGCCGATGGGGACTCGTTGGTCGCAGGTCAGATAACGGGGACCGTCTACTGCAACTGTGCACAGACCACAACCTGTTTCTGGCTAGCACTAACTTTCGGCACAGTCATCGCCGATGTGCCACCTGGCGACCACCCTCTGCATCTCAAGCCTGGACTCAGATTGATCACATCGCGATCAGCTACCGCTGGCGTGGTTGTGTACAAGACTGCCGCTCCTTTTGGAGTACCTATCTGGACTCTGACCATGCCTTGGTCTGCGCCAATCTTGCCTTACTTTTCAGTGGCCAACGAAGTGACCACCACCAAAAGATTGGTGTTGGCAAGCTGGTTGCAACTTCTGTTGCAAGTAAGTATCGAACCGAGCTAGCCTCTAGGCTAGCTACCATTCCACCGAAAAGTATAGATGAGTATTGGTTGCAATTGCATGACGCCATGAAAATGGCGGGAACAGTCAGTTGTGGGTTTGCGGAACGTCCCGCTTTTAAGCACTGGG